AATAAGCATATCATTGCAGTATGGTTTGACAACTACAATAAAGGAATATACAGGAGATGAACGTTTAGCTCTACCATGGTTCTATTGAGAAGGAGGTTTGTTGGTGTTCAAAATAGACTTCCCTAAGAAGGAAATGGTAAACTATGTTAAATTCCATAGAAATGGAACAGTCAGTGCAGTGACACAGGAGAAAATGGAGGGACCGTTTTTGTACATCTACCTGTAGTTCAACTTGATAAGGACGAAAAGGTTAAGTGGATACATGATAGACTGAAGGCTAAAAATGCCAATACAAGTCATAACAGGAAGTACCTTATATGTGAGTCAACAGATTTTAAAATTTATTGGTTGGTTTGCAGTTGGTTATGCAGTTATTGAAATAACAGGAACATATTTCATTCTAGAAATATTATTCTAGAAGCAGTGAGGAAAGTGGGCTATAGTTAAGAGAGGAATAGTGGTAGGAATAATAAAAGGGTCCTTGTTGAGTTAATCTAAGAGGGGGGCCTAATTTAGCCAATGAAAATTGAGAGGAGGTACAGACAAAAAATTAATTATTTAGGAGGTAGAAGAGATAAAATTAATTGATAGAATTGAATATAGACTATAAGTGAAATAGAGGACTCCAGGAAAAACCCATGGCTTGGGTGATGGGATGAAAACTGATGACAATAATCAAGGGAAAAAATAGTGACTAGAAGTGTTGACACTGCATCAACAGTGCAAATGCAATGCCCCCTACGTTCATAGAGGAGAAAATGTTCCTTGTTAAGTTGATAGAAAAGAATAGTCATACAGATAGAAGCATGGACCTAAAGATATAATACAAAAAACTGTGATAAAATATTTGTGCTCTGCTTGTGACTATGGAGGAGGCCGATATGTAGGAAGCATTCATTAAACTATGCATAAACATCGTGAGTCAGGAGTAAGGCATTTAAATTAATGAGTAAATAATACATCATTTGTGTAAAAATATAGGGGAAAAAACACCCTTTATTCTCAGATGAAATGCTCCTCTCACTTTAAAACTGTTATCTAATTGTGTCAACTTAGTATTTAATGTTTTATTTGTGGGTTCACACTTTNAGACAAAAAATTAATTATTTAGGAGGTAGAAGAGATAAAATTAATTGATAGAATTGAATATGGACTATAAGTGAAATAGAGGACTCCAGGAAAAACCCATGGCTTGGGTGATGGGATGAAAACTGATGACAATAATCAAGGGAAAAAATACTGAATAGAAATGTTGACACTGCATCAACAGTGCAAATGCAATGCCCCCTACGTTCATAGAGGAGAAAACGTTCCTTGTTAAGTTGATAGAAAAGAATAGTCATACAGATAGAAGCATGGACCTAAAGATATAATACAAAAAACTGTGATAAAATATTTGTGCTCTGCTTGTGACTATGGAGGAGGCCGATATGTAGGAAGCATTCATTAAACTATGCATAAACATCGTGAGTCAGGAGTAAGGCATTTAAATTAATGAGTAAATAATACATCATTTGTATAAAAATATAGGGGAAAAAACACCCTTTACTCTCAGATGAAATGCTCCTCTCACTTCAAAACTGTTATCTAATTGTGTCAACTTAGTATTTAATGTTTTATTTGTGGGTTCACACTTTACAGGACAGATATAAATGGGGTTGAAAATAAGGACATCATGTTAAAATCAGGGCCCATGTTTGGAAATCAAGAGAAAGTAGTGCTGTATTTATGCATTAATTACAATTTATGTATTATATATTAATATACAATTTGAAGTTATTTTTAAAAGTTTGTAGTCTTGGGATTCTGTCCCAAAGCATGAATGGTTGCATGATATGAATGCCCAGATGAATTTTTTTTCTTTCTTAATGAAGGGCCATTACAACTTTATTTTTATATTCTTGATTAAAAAAAAAAGAAGAAAAAATGGAGGATTGTCAGCACTCAATTAGCTCAGTCACTTTAACCTGGAAAATATATTAACTGAAAGAAAAAAATTATTTTTAAAACAAGTACCTAGGTCAAATCAAAAAACTAAAGACATATTTGTCCAGCACATGCCTCTCTCCATATAAAGATATTTTATATTTTGAAAACCATTCGGCTAGTGACTCTAATCAAATATATTCTTAAAACATAATTTAATGTACTTCCCAAAGTGTTTTCCTAACATGTATGTAAGTAATATTCTTATCCCTAATGGAAACATGAAACTACACATATCCCAGCAAATGATAAATAACTAAACAGAAGCCAAAGTGGGGGGAGGGGGAAATCAAGCCTTTTATCTCTATCTCAGTGTCCCGTGTGTTTCCTATTATATACTGAGCCAATGAAGCTAGGTAATAACATGTTCCAAATTCATGTTTGTTTCCTTGGTTTTTCTTCAAGGCTGTGCTGCCAATGAGCAATGGAGTGGATCGTGACCTTCTGTACTAATAATTTTGTCTTCAAGATGTTTAAATTGATTTTCCACATCTTTAAATTCAAAGATCCAAAGGGGTCCCCTATAGCAACCTCTGACAGTGGTATGATGATGCCGGCACCAAAGAATAGGACAGAAGAGGAGTTTTAGAGCAACTAAAGTGATAATATGAAGAATGGGGAAGAATGAGAAAAATAGTCCTTTAAAAGTATGCAAAGAAGACAATCTATGGTCTAATCTTTATGAAAAAGGATGATGAAGAAATAAATCTGCATTTGATCTGCATCCAAGATATTTTCAGATTTTCACATACTGCTTTGAAAATTCTCACACTGAAAGACTCAGTTTTAAGATTAGTTGAAAGAGAACATACAGCAATTTACTGAATCTTCATCACTTCCGTCAAGGCAGTCATCATCACCATCACATTTCCACCGAGCTTGGATACAGTGTCTGTTTTTGCAGCGAAATTCTCCAGCTTTACATATGTGAGATAATACTTCTCCAGGAATAACTAGTGTTAAAAAAAAAAAAAAATCCAAGGTATATGAACAATGCTAGCTGTATTTGATTCATTAAAATGTAAATTTTGTGGTTTTTCTTAGATTCTACATATAAGTGAGATCATACAATATTTGTCTTCTCCATCTGGCTTATTTCACTTAGCATTAAAGTCCTCTAGGTTCATCCAAGTTGTCATAAATAACAGGATCTCTTTCTTTTTTAAGGCTGGATAATATTCCATACACACACACACACACACACACACACACACACACACACACACACCATGATTTCTAAGTCAAATACATAGAGATTAAAGTAGTAGTTCCTAGGAGTTGGGGGTGGAGAGGAAATGGGGAGATGGAGGTCAAAGGGCACAACCTTACAGATATGTAGGATGAATAATTCTACAAATCTAAGGTGCAACATGATGACTGTAGTTATAATATCACATTGTATACTGGAAATGTGCTGAGAGTAGATTTTAGGTGCTCTTACCACACACACAAAAACAGTAACTATGAGAGATGATGTTTATATTAATTTGCTTGACTGTAGTTACCATTTCAGTATGTGTAAGTATCCCAAAACATCATGTTGTACACCTTAAATATATACAAAAAAAACCCTCAAGGTTTAACATAATTTACTATCCAAAAATATATATCACATGAAACATAAAGTGGTTTTTATAACATTAAATAAAGCTTACTGTTATCTAGTAACAAGAAAAGATAAAAAGGTAAATTTTTTATAATAACAAAATATTGTCTCATTTCACTTTACAGAAGATATAAAAATAACATTGTAGTGACATCCATCATTGGGAATGAGAAAATTCTAAGTGTTTCTGACAATAATTATTCTACTAAGAATTTTTAAGGTTTAAAATAAACAATTGTCACCAAAACAACAACAACAATACAATACCACTTTATGCTAGGTTTGCAGTATTGCTTTTTAAAGGGCTTTCATTCAGAATCTCAACTGACCATTTCAATAACCTATGAAGAAGGCATGGCAAAGAATTTCACTACCTACATCTTATAGATAAGTACACAGAGAATTAATCAACGTGAAACAGCAATGTAATAGCACACAGCTTTGATGGCTATATTTACTCTGCTGGTCTGCAAGTATAAGAAAAACTCAGGACTAGTTAAGGGTTTAAGAGAGTATTCCGTTAATCAAAAACACCTACTCATCCGAATTCTATAAAGTGTTTTTTCTCCATATATTCCATGTTCTCTAATCAAATGTTAGAACTTTGGTGAATTAGATTTATATTCAAATTGAAAGTGTTACTATTCTTCTGTTCCCTTTGAGTGGATTAGACAGAGTCTGGAAAAAAAAAAA